AGTAAGTATGGGGTAACTCATAAAGTTGCAACTCCATATCATCCACAGACTAGTGGCCAAGTTGAGGTTTCAAATAGAGAATTGAAAAGGATTCTGGAAAAGACTGTTAATTCTTCTAGAAAGGATTGGTCATTGAAACTTGATGATGCGCTCTGGGCATATAGAACAGCTTTTAAAACTCCTATTGGTATGTCTCTGTATAGGTTAGTTTTTGGAAAAGCATGTCCTTTACCTATTGAACTTGAGCATAGAGCATATTGGGCAATGAAATTTTTAAATTTTGAGATGCAAGCTGTAGGTGAAACAAGACTTTTACAATTGAATGAAATTGATGAGTTTCGCCAGGAAGCTTATGAGAATGCCAAAATTTACAAAGAACGCACTAAAAAGTGGCATGACAAACACATTTTGAAGCGTGAGTTTGTAGTTGGTGATAAAGTGTTGCTTTATAACTCTCGGCTTAGACTTTTTCCAGGGAAATTAAGATCCAGATGGTCAGGTCCTTTCATGGTGACAAGAATTTTTCCTTATGGTGTGGTGGAAGTATCTCACGATACAAAGGGCACATTTAAAGTGAATGGTCAATTGTTGAAACCCTACATGGATGGCGGATGCAACAAGCATGTGATGGCCATTGAGTTACATAATCCAACTTGATCATCCAAGGACAGTCAAGCTATTGACTATAAATAAGCGTTTCTTGGGAAGGCAACCCAAGCATTAAATTTTCTTTTCTTTTCTTTTCTTTTATCTCTTATTTATTTATTTATTTATTTATTTTTTATCCTTTATGTGGGTAGTGTAGATTTCATTATTTACTTTTTTTTTTTTTTACATGACCCAGGCTAAAGCATTTCAACACTAACTGAGATTAGAAGCATTTCAACCCAAGTTTCACCTTCCAATGTTCAACTGCTCATTTGGGGAAGTTTTTCTTCTACTTACAATACATTGAAAACAATGATAGCTTGAGTTTGGGGGTTTAAATTTGTTTTTCGCTGTTCAATATCTATTTATTGTGCTTGATTCTGCTTTTACCATTGTGGATTTTAATTAACAAGGAAATTCCTTGCTACTGAAATTTAGTAATAGAGCTCTCATTTCATGACACTGGGTTAATTGTTATGCCTTGCTTATTGTTATCATTGTTTTTGACATGAAATTGAAGGAGTTTGGGTTAAATATTGGACTGCACATCCTTAGCAAAGGAAGTCTAATTGTTTCTTAAGCCTGAAATTTGTTTGTGGTTTTTGAGCAAACTATCTATGGGTTCTGAGCAGGCTAAGTGATGAGGGAATGATAAATTGTTGGGTCATGCATGAAAAAAAAAGAAAAAAAAAAAAGAGAAAGTTCGTCAACTTTGGGTGAATGTGATTTGCTTAATTGCATAGTGTGGCTTATACACTATTTCGTTGTTCCTAATTGTTGGACAGGGCATTAAGCAAATTTGGGGACAAGATTTTAAACATGTACATGCTAGAAGTCTCCTTTCATTGAAGACAGTTCAACTCCAGCACCCAAATCTCAAATTTTCAAGTGCAGAACCTGTGAAGTTTCTTTTTTTTCTTATACTTTTATTTTACATTGAGGACAATGTTTGATTTAAGTTTGGGGGAGAGAATAACTTTTAGGTGTCACATTCTTATATTAGTTCGCATATTTGCATCACATGCATTTTTTTTTTATTATTAGGGTAATTTTTTTTAGGAGTTGGTTCAATTAGTATCAAGGAATTAAATATTATGGAGTTGGTGATTCAAAAACTTCTAATTCTTTAATTCCTAGAGGAGATACAAAATCTGAAAAATAGCACCATTGTGATGAAGTTTAAGTTCATGAGTATTTTATTCTACTTGAGCACAAGATTGTAGTGAGAAGTTTAGAGAGAAGACTTAGTAGCA